AATGTCTGCCAAATATCCAAGACTACACAAACAACTGCTCATCAGTCTTACAAGTAAAAGACGTGTTTCATGAAGAATGACGAGTTCAGTTCACAACTTAACCAATACACAAGCTTTTCCTCACGACAACTTTTGCACTTTGGTATGCAGCTGGAAAAAAGCTAAAAGCTAAAAAAACAAAACAAACAAACAACAACAACAACAACAAAAAAAAACCAAAGTACTCAAGTGGAGATTTAATAAAATACTTTCCAACTGCTTCATCAAGGATATTCTAAAATGAAACTGACACATTTTGTTTCATTTTTTAACTGAGAATGTATAGTAGTGAATGCAATGATTACTAGCCATTTTCGAGCCACTGCTTTATTTCGGGTAATGATGCCAACAGTTTCACATCATGAGTTCAAATGTCAACAGACTGGAAAAAATAAATAACACCTTAAGAGTAATAATAAAACAGTTTTTACCATGCAGATTCCCTCAAGTGGTTTCAGAAATTGCCAGAGAATCCTAATTCATGTTTTGAACAGCTGACTTAAGAAAAAAGGAGACAATACTTCTAACAAAGAGTCTTTGAGCTTCACACAGTGGCACAGTCCTGTAATCCTAGCATCTCAGAAGGCTAAGACAGGAGGATCACAAGTTCAAGGCCAGCCTCTGCAACTTAGCAAGGCACTATGCATCTTAGTAAAAGGTTGTCTCAAAAGAAAAAATAAAGGGTTGGGAATGTGGCTCAGTAAGTACCCCTGGGTTCAATTCCCAGTATTGCCCTCCATCCTCCCCAACACACACAAAAGGTCTTTCAGGCATCAAAGAGTTGGCGTAAAGCTCTCATTCTAAAAGCACACACTATGTTCTTCTGACCTTCTTAATATGCTAGATAATTTTAGAATTATATTCTTTGCACCATGTTATACTGTGAAGATTCTGAATTTTTCTCATGTGAGATTTTTTTTTTTTTTTGTCATTAGTTTGTTGCTGAGGCTGACCTTGAACTTACGATCCTTCTGCCTCAGCCTCCTGAATTGCTGGGATTACGGGTGTGTGCAGAGGTGCCTGGCTGTTGCTTGTTTCAACAGGCAATTATCTTTGCTGAACTTGAACTGTACAAACCATTTATTAGGCAGCAGCTCCAGTTTCAGTTCAGACCTTCTGTCCTTTATTAAGCTGTTCTAAGTTTGAGTCAGGTTTCAGTCAGAGATGTGGGTGAACAGAATTTGGTCACCCTTTCTCTTGCAAAACTCTTCAACTTTCTTCAATAGCCAGGGTTTCTTCAGCTTCAATTTTCTAGTTTCCTTCATTGGAAGGCCCTCTTCCCATTCTCCACTGTCCTTCTGTACACATACTGCACTTAGTCCCAGACCAAAAGCTTCATTCCTCCACAGGCTCATAGCTCCCCTCATTTCCCTTCTCAACTAGAGTCTGTCTGTTCTTCCCGTCCAGTGGTTTCAAGATGTTGCTTTTTGTACTCTATATAGATTATATTGAGTCTCTTTTTGTAGGGAGTCATATGGTCTTTTTCTTTTCTTTTCAGGTGGCATACTGGGGATTGAACTCAGGGGCACTTGATCCCTGAGCCACATCCCCACCCTATTTTGTATTTTATTTAGAGACAGGATCTCACTGAGTTGCTTAGTGTCTCACTGTTGCTGAGAATGGCTTTGAACCCTCCATTATAGGTGTGTGCCACCACAACGGGCAGGAGGGTGTTTTTCCATCATCACCTGATGAACATGATCTCTGCAAATTAGCATGATAATATCTGTAATTATAAGACTTCTTTGGATGCTGTGACAGATATGGTCTCAAGGTAGTATATGGTAGATCAATAGCAGTCCACAGTAATTCAGGAAAGAAAGACCATTGAGAGAAGTACCTGATATAGCTTTGTTTATTGAAAACATATTGAGTATGTTTAGAAGACTCTGAAAATAAGAAATTCAGATCTCATTTCATCACCCCCTAGAATTATAAACTTCTTAACAGATTTAATAGGCCCAAACATCTGGAACTTATTTAATCTAACCTTTGGGTATAAAATATTCTATATCATCTTTAATTTTTTATATTTTCAGAGAATGGGATTTTACTAGGTTTTTCAATAGTGTGCCCCAGCATTATACACTTACATATTGCCTGCTAACTCCTGGGATGAAAAGAAACAGAAGGGTACTCTTTCCTTCCTGATCCCTTATTTCTCAAGACTGTCAAGCACAGATACTGAACCTGTTTTCCCACAGGATCATTAAAAATACAACCATGTTCTTCCTTAAATTATTAGGGGCGGGGACTAAGGGCTTAGTTTAGTGCTAGAACACTTACCTAGCACATGGGCTGCCCTGAGTTTAATCCCCAACACACACACACACACACACACACACACACACACACACACACACAATTATTATGGGGGAAAATTAAGTATCACCTCACTTGATGTTTCCCCTAGGTCAACAACACTGTATGAATATGTTCTCAAGGATTTACAGCACTGATGAGGAATTTTTATTGTGATATTGATGAAAAGACTATGAAAACTTGCTGAGTCTTGTTCTGAATGTTTGTTAGAATGGTGTGTTTAATTTGTGAAAATTTTATCCGTCACTTGAAATAGTCACTTTTGTATATAATACAATTTTGTTTCTTTGTTTTATACCAGGGATTGAATCAGTAGGCACTTAACCATTGAGCCACATCCCCAAACTTTTTATTTTTTCTTTTGTGACAGGGTCTCACTAAGTTGCTTACTGGCTTTGAACTCACAATCCTCCTGCCTTGGCCTCCTGAGCCACTGGAATGACAAAAGTGCACAACTACACCCAGCTTTTTTTATATATTTTATAATATATATATAATATATATATGCATATATATATGCATATATATATATATTATACATATAAAATACTTCAAGTTTTAAAAAAAAGTCTGTGAAAGCTTATCATGTCCCTTCTCTATAATGCCAATTATTCCCAGAGGAATACATACATATCCTGTTTGTAAGGCATGACTTATTACACAAAGTTATCCACTACCACTATAGTATTTGTACAATTAAAAAGTAATATAAAATCCAAACATTAGCAATATATAACTAAAAGTCCTCTGGTTTCATCTCCTAGAAAGATTACAATTAGAATTGAAATTCAGAGGCTTATGGCTTCTACATCATCCCATCATAAATAAATTATACTCTTTTCCAAACTTTGAGCATCTCATTTTTTTCTTCAAAAATTTTCAAAATTAAAGTAATGTATTCAGAATCTTTGAATTCCAGTAACTGAGCTAAAAAGGCATCAAAAAATTAAAACTAAGGTTACCATACATATTAGGATTGTAACGTAAGAAGTCTTAATTTAACAACAATTTTTGAAAAGGTAAACTTCTATTACTTTTTCTACGCAAGTTTTCAGAGCCCTCATTTTTGTAAACTCACAGAGAATGTTGTATAATTATGTCCTGACGGAAATAAAGTTAATTATCTGAAAGAAATAAAGAGTCAGGTACAGTGGTGCATGCCTGTAATCCCAGCAACTCAGGAGGCTGAGGCAGAAGAATCACAAATTTAAGGCTAGTCAAAGAAACCTAGTGAGACCCTGTCTCAAAATAAAAAACAGAAAGGGCTGGGCTCAGTGGTAAAGTGTCCCTGGGAACAATCTCTAATACCAAAAAATAATTTAAAAAATAATAGTAATAATAGCCTTTTTCACATGATAAAGTAATAACCTGATCTCAATTTCTGAAGGAGGGGACAGAGTTTCTGAAAAGTACTTATTTTTTTAATAAATTCATTGATTTTTGCTATTTTAGTTTAATGTCCCAGATTCCAAAAGTTTTAACTACTCCTTTTCTTATCAAATGGAAATCTGTCCTACAAGGAGTTACCAAATCCAGTAATGGCAATGTCGTATTTTTCTACGAATTTTCTTTACTTCTCTCTCCATCCAATGGCTATGTGACAATACAAGAAAAGACTAGGAAACAGACTCTCAATCATTTAATATCCAGAACATCAAAAAATTAAAACTAAGGTTACCATACATATTAGGATTGTAACGTAAGAAGTCTTAATTTTCTATTATTTCTATAAATTGATATAAGTTAAAAAGATATATGCAGGTGGAATCTAATCTCAAATGCTCCATTTGAGAAGTGTTTCAAATTTTGGAGTTTTTTTGATTTTGGAATGTTTGCATAGACGTTACCGGTTGAACACCCCTAATCTGAAAATCCAAAATCTGAAAATGCTACAAAACTTGATAAACTTTTTGTTGTTGGAGCTCAACTTGTATATGCTTAGCACAGTTTCAAAAGAAATGAGTTATTAGTCTATAAATCTGATGATTCACAAAGTATAATCCAACTATGCAGATTTCATAGTAGTATAACAGAACTGCAAATAAATACTTTAAAATTAGTACACAGAAAATGTCACTTTTATTAAAACAAAATATTTATCAAAACCTTGCAGGTTATAAATAGAAGACTTAGAGAATATGATTTGTGTTGCTATAATGCCTTAAACAATACCTATAATTGAACTATGATGTAGATTTTTTTGTATTATCTTTAATAATGGGACAAAATGACTCCTACTAGATTGAACAGGAAAAATGTTCTTTTAAATCATATAAATAGCACAATCTCAAATTCTTAATTTTGTTGAAATTTAAGAGCATTTACGTTGTCAATCATAACACATATTTTAATAAATTACCTAACTACTTTAAAGACTTCTTTTTTACTTTAAAGTGCCATGTTTTAAGAGAAATTACTCCAAAATAAATCACTATATTAGATGCTCTGGGGAGCTTAAAGAAAATTTCATTCTAATATTCCACTTGATTCCTGAGCTATCTATATACACTAAAATAACATTATTCATGAAATTGCATATTTACTTTTAAAGTAGATGTTAAGAAATATGTCTCACTAATAGATAATTTTGTTATCCGTATACATATAAAGATTTTTAATTATTTTAGCTAGTTACTTACTGAGAGCCATGCAAGGGATTCCATGATTCGATGTTCACATCGTTCTAAATGTTTTATCATTTCTCTTGTCAAGTTGGCTTCTGCTTTGATAAAACTTTCAATCACTTTGTAAAAATCAAAGGCTTTTAAATTAAGTACATTCAGAATCCATGGGAAGGACAAATCTGTTCCAGAATCAAGATTCTGAGATGTACTTCCTAAAAATGAAAGAAAAAATGTATAGATATGAAATGTTAAGACCTGAACTAAGTATTTTTATTCGGAAGGTCTTGTCAAACAAAGAATTAAATAATTTGTATTTAGAGCAGAATTTTTTATTCTGGAGTCTATAGGCTCCCAAATTTTTGAGTGTATGTGCATGTATGTTTTTTCTTGAGAACTGGCTCATAGCTTGCATCAAGTTTTCAAAGGTTTAAATACTCTAAACTCTTATCAGGGACAGGTTTGTTATTTTATCAGCAATTCATAAGCATATACATTTCAATTCTCTCATTAATCCTTGGTGGAGAGTAGAAAAGAAGCTTTAAGATTTGCTAATTTAATTCATTAGTTTGAAAATGGAATTTCTTTAAAATGTGCATTTAAGGTTATTAATGAGGATTAACAGTTTTCCATATGTATTTATTAATTCAAGTTCCTCCTTTTTTAATTGTGTACTTGTATCCTTAAATAAATGTTCCTCTTCTGTTTCTGCAAGAATAACTTTTTTAACACTTGCAACACTATCTACAAAACAATATATTTAAATTATATTTTAAAAACACTGTTATTGGCCCTTGTTTTGTTTATCAATAAATTATTGATTTTTCATAATTTGCTTAAAAGCAGGCACCAATTAAGAAAGCGTTGAAGCTCTGGTAGATCCCAGCTCTAACCTGTGGTCTAGTGACCAAAGCATTGTTATAACAATTCTTTCAATTATTATTGTCTACTCTTTAAAAACTGCTTTGGCACTTTACAATCTTACAGATTTTTTAAAGGATTTCAAAAGGTACTTCTTCAATTTGTTCAGAATAGGTTAGGGAAATCCACCCCCGAGATGGCCTGAAATAATTCAGATAAACTATTTAAATAGCAACTATTTAAATGACAATTAAATAGTTATAATTATATTCTTATATTCTTCAGTATATACTCATCTACAATATGCTTTTCTTCTCTTTACCACGTACCCCCTCTAAAAACAATAAACAAAACAAAAAATATAACACACCTGGAGTATTTTTTTAACTTTAAATTCAACTAAAACATGTATTTACTAAAACTTAACTTACTGCTATAGGTAGCCATTACAACTTCAAGAGCACACGCCAATAAAGACATATGAAAGATGTTGTCATTCAGAAGTTTGCTAAAAGAAAAAAGGAGAATGATTTTTAAATATCTACTTTTATAAAAAGAAGAAACTGCTGACTAAAACTAAAAGAATAAATTACCTAAAATTTTGAATGGAGAGTCGTTCTTCTTCCTAAAACAGATAATGTTTTTAAAAGTTTAACTGAAACTTAATATTTGTGTCAAAGTTAATTTTTTTTTCTACTATATTTTTTTAAACTTACAGATTTAAGCATGGATTCCATTACTCGGTAGTATAATCGCACTCCAAGTTTATATCGCTACAACAAAGAAAAAGAAAAAGAAGAACTTGCTATTTTAGAACATCACAATAATCACTAATTTTTTGTAACAATCTTTTCTTGCAACATACTTCTGACCCTTTTTAGAAATATGGCTATCAAACTATATGCAGTGGTGTACGCCTGTAATCCCAGTGGCTCAGGAGGCTGAGGTAGGAGGATCATGAGTTCAAAGCCGGCCTCAGCAAAAGCAAGGCGCTAAGCAACTCAGTGAGACCCTGTCTCTAAATAAAATACAAAATAGGGCTGGGAATGTGGCTCTGTGGTCGAATGACCCTGAGTTCAATTCCTGGTACCCCCCCACCCCCCAAAAAATGAAAAAAAAAATAAAAAAGAAATATGGTTACAAAAAAAAAAACCACAAAAGCTAGACTACCTAAAACTCAAGACTTAAGTATAAAGTAATGTTTCATATTCCCAATAAGCTATCAAGAGGTTAGATCCATTACCTGATTCTCTTTTCAGTCTACATTATTTATACTAAAGGGTAGATTATATGTCCAGTACAATATTTTAAGCACTTACATACCTGCTTCTTATAATCTAGAATATCTATTTTCAGAACAGCTATTTAGAATTAGAGAATAGTTCCTAATTAAAAAAAACTCTGAAAAACTCAGTAACCCTGCCACAGTCAAAGTCAGACAAAACTAAACTTCTCAGAAAAATGTTGTAACCAAATAACTACTTCCTTTCAGTTGAAAGAATAACCAAATATTTTCAGTTACATGCACATATATACATGCACAAACCATAGTTCTTCATTCCAAATTAAGAGTTCAAATGTCATATACAACCAAAAAAGAACTTTTAAGTATAGTTGTTTAAAGCATTATGGGATAAACTATAATCTCATGACACTGAAATAAATGTGTACAATGGATTATAATTTTCAAATTTATCTTTACAAAATTGCCCTCATTAATGCCACACAACAAAGCAGAATAAATATAGAACCTGAATCTCAGAGAAGTTAAACGACATGTTCAAGATCACTCAGCTCACAAATAATGGAACCAGATGTAAACCCAGTATTCCATAATTCCATAATCCATACTCTTACCCAATATATTGGTTTTAGATTATTTGAATAATATCACTCAGTATCACTGAAAATTGGCATATATAGTATAATCCCATTTACATAAGTGTATGTATACATGAGTATTGACACATGTAGAAGTCACAGCATATACATCAAAAATTTAAGATGAGATTTTAATTTTTTTGCTTACTTATATTTTCTAAATTTTCCACAATTGGTATGTACACTTTTCTTTTTGTAAAGGGATGGGTAATGATTTCTCTTAAGGTTTCTCATAAATAGCAACATACATAGGCAGATGGGATATATAATCCGCCAATTATACTACTAGACAAATACTATTATTTGTTTAGTATCTGTACAATCTGAACAGATGCTGCCTTTAAAATTATTGCTATAGGCAGGCATTGATGAAAATGAACTCAACTTACCTGTGATCCAATTTCAACACATCCCTGTCCCACAGCTTTAGCAAATTTCTCTTTAAAGATGTGTCCAATATCTTTCACTCTTTTCAGAATATTTTCTTTTGGATTCACCGTGCAGTTCTTTAAGAAATATAAACAGAAATCAATATTGACAATAGCATTTAATCAGAATTAAAATTTTCTGTTCCATATATAATGACTGACTTTTTGAGTGCTTATAAAAATATGGAAACACTTCTATAATAATTAGGTAAACACAACCACAGAATCGAAGCAGAATTTCATTGGATGTTAGTGTCTAAGAAATTTTCCAGAAGAATTAAAAAACTCTATTACCTACAATTTCTGCTGCTAGGTTTAGGGGACCTCAGATTTGTTAGCCTTTCTATTCATCACATGTTTTCATAAAATATGTTCAATTAACAGTTGCATTTGAATGTATGTCACCCCCTTCACAAAAAAAGCCAGTGGAAGATATAAAACTAAGATTTAAGCTCAATATAATTTCTTAATTTAAAATTATGCTTTAGAAGAGTTAAAAACTAGCCATATTATTTAATAACATTTTCAGAAACTAGTATGGGAAAATAGTTACAAAAGAAGTTCCAGTGCTCACTTAAGCAGCATATATACTAAAAACTAGAACAATAAAAATAAGTTCCAATACATGTATCATTTGGAGTATGAGGCCCTATCAACTTTAATAATTAACACACATCAGAAGATGATACATTAAAAGAAGCAGTATGATGTTCTATTCTATAATTCATATTATGCTACAGTAAAAATATATCACAAGGTATAAAAATATATTCATTAGATACAGAAGCATAGTCCTAAAATTCCAGTTATTTGAGAGGTTAAAGCAGGAGAATAACAAGTTCAAGGTCAACCTTGGCAACTCAGCAAGATCCTGTCTCAAAATACAAAGTAAAAAAGACTTGAATATAGTTCAATTGTAAAGCACCCCTAGGTTCAGTTCCCAGTATGCAAAAATGAATGAATAAATGGATGGATGAAAAAATAAATACTACCAAGCTCAAGCCTTTGGACATTTTGAAATATATAATAAAGAGGTCTTTCCTGTCATAAAATCATTGCTGCCAAATGTCAATTAAAATATGCCCAGAGTCTAAGACTTTACACTCAGAGAAGATACCATTAATTTTAAAAATGAAAAAGCCTGAGTTTATAATAAAGAAGTAAAATCAAGGAAAAACGTAATGACCTTCAAGACACTCTGCCTCACTCTGAGGCAAGATGTCATTGATATACAATTAAGAAGTTATAAAGTTTCATTAAAAGAAGTTATAAAGTTTCATTAAAAGTTAAGCTTTAAAATGAGCTCTAGAGAATGTCTCTTGAGGCAGAACTTTCTGCCCAACGGAATTAATTAAAAAAAAAAAAAAAAAAAAAGAGCTCCAACATGCTCCAAAAGTTGGAAGAAGCATTTTAAAATGGCACTGAGAAGAGATTATCAGTCTTTTAACTTCTATCATTATTACTTGCTAAAAGTTCTAGGTAACTAGGTTGATATGTTTGGGCAAATAATTCTCATGCTACAGATAACTCATAAACAAAAGTAACTTTATATAAGTTAGACAAACAAAATCAGTTCTACACCAACACAATTATGAATAAAAGAAATTACTTTAGTAATTCCTGGACAGGACATAGCAAGACAGGACAATACAGCATGACAAAGTCACTGTTAACAATTATAGAAAGTAATGACCAGAATAACCCAAATTTTTAATAAGAATCCTGGCCTTGTACAATTTCCACAGATGAGCACTTTGGTGGGTCCCAACCCTTATGATTTGAGTTTATATAAGGAGTGATGAAGCAAGCCGGCAATACTGATGCTAGTTTTCATTCTTTCTTCTTCTCTCTCTTTTTTTTTTTTTTTTTTCAGGGAGGGATCAGCAGGGGCTTTCATATATCAAACTCAGAGTCAATCAGGAATTGAAAAGTGCAATGCACACAGAGCCAGGCAAGAATTTCAAATGAAAATGGGTTGAAAGTGGGATTAAAAAAAAATTGCAGGGCTGTGGTGAATGTTAAGTCCTACCTAACACTGTGTTCAAAGAAAAGATTTAAGATTTATGCAGGCAGAGAGAAAAGACAGATTAACTATAAAGGAACAACAGTAGGTCTACAGAAGACTTCTTAACTATTCACCTTGGGAGCCAAGAAATAGTAAAGTAACAATATCAAAATAGTAAAGTAGTTATTTTAAACTTCTGAGAGAAAGTACATGTCAACCTAGAATCGAAGATCCATCTTAAAAAAAATAAGAGTAAACACATTTTTAGACAAAAAACAAAACAAAACAAAAACTGTACTTTTACCCCAAACTAAACTTGCTAAAGGAATTATTTAAAAATATGTCTGAAGAAGGAAGAAAATTATCTCAGAAGTTAGGTCTAAGTTGCAAGAAGGAATGATGATAAGGCAAATGATAAACCTAAGAAAATCAAAACATAACACTGCCTAAATAAAATAACACTATTAATATCTAATTAGTAAAATTTTAAAAGCAAAAAATAAGATAATGGGTAAATATATGTTAACTTCTAATTTCATATTTCTTTACCAAGATATCACAAAATATGTTTCATAGATGGCTTACATTGAAATAGGAAATCAAATTTTCTGATGGCTGATCACTTGCTGAATTTAAAATCATCATTAATTGTTGGATAGTATTCATAACGGTCCTAGAGGGGAGAAAAAAGGAAGAAGCATTAAGCAAAGAAGAAAAAGAACAAATGAAATGCACCTATCTCAAGTTCTTTTGATATCCTATCTATCCCATTTATCTTTACAAAGTTCTCTGAAATAAGACTTATGGGGGAAAAAAACCCTTAGTGTACTGTGATTCATAAGAAATTATGTTCTGCTTACATCTTTAACAAGTATTCATAATAAGTATGTTTATAGGACTGATACACTTACCAATAAAACTAAGCATCAATAAAATATTAATTGGTCAAATTAATGATATTATATTTTGGAAAAATATATGGCATCATAAATTTTTATATCATATGGAGAAAAATTGACATCAAAATAGTAATCTTTCAAGAAAACATTATTACAATTTAAGTTTTTTGCATATAAAAAACATTTATATATAAACCTTTACAGAGAGACTCTGAAATACACAATAGACAATATCTTCAAAATCAACTGTGAAGATTTTACAAAACATGCAGCAATATTCTTTATAACCACTTTAAACATCATCTAAAGATAAGACCTGATTGTGTGTTAACATTCTAATTTTTGGTAAGCCTAGATATATAACAGTGAGTAAGGTTAAGTGTTTATTTTTAATGAAGTATTGGTGGAGCAGTTTTGAAAATACTATTACCTTAAAATTTTTATATATTCATTAACTACAAAAGATGCAAATAAAATGCATATTTATGTGAATATTTGTCGTAAATGCTATTTTGGTTTTTATAGTGCACAATTAGAACAGACTTTGAGTCTCTTGATAATAGACATCATGAGGCAATGTTTTGCTTATACAATTAAACATTAAACTCTCAAAGACAGTAAGACATTTAGTAACTCGAGTAAAGAATCAAATGATTCTTCTTTACAGAGAACTTCAACGAAACACATTTAAGGTCCTGAGTAATTTTAAGTCACTACAGTTAAAGCATAAAATTAGATCAGTCTCTTAAAGAGTCTTTACTTCTCTACCATGCATATGCACATGCACATATGCGTATATGGTATATAGTAAAGACTAATATTGCAATTTTGAAGTACAAATGAAATGTACCTACTCTCAAATAAAATACATTTAATACATTGTTTAATCATTCACAGAACTGTACAATGTTTAGGGCTTAAAAGCTTCTCAAATATTATTTAGTAAAATATGTGCAGTATTCTTAGCCAAACCTCCCTAAACTGGTACCTATACTTTACCTTTCAAATATTGCCATGTGGCTTCAATGTTCATTAATCTAATTAAGCAACAATGACTAAAACCACAAACGACCAATTGCTAAACCCAAAAATCTGTTCCAACAACTGACTTCCTTGAAGCATTTCACCTCAAGCCCTTGTGCTTTCCTGAAACCAGAGCCTTCCCTTGACTTTCTTGATGTCTCCCTCTAGTCTCCCAAACCACCTACTCTCTCATTCTCTAAAATCTATCCAGCCCTTAAAATGCATTCTTTAGGTTTCAGCCCCTGCTACCTATTCTTGCCACTATATACCATCACTTCAGGTAACCACATCTTTTGTTTTTAAACTTTCATTTATTTTTTTTTTAATATGGTACTGGGGATCAAACCCAGAGCCTCACGTGTAGGCAAGGACGCTACCGCTGAGCTACAACCCCAAACCCCAATCACATCTATTTTTTATGGCTTTAACTTTGTCTGACAATTCCCAAACCTGTAAGAGCCTTATATCCTACTGCTTATTAGAAAGTGTCTTCGTAAATGCCTCAATAATATTCTCAGTATGAATTCATCAAAATTATTCCTGCTCCTTCATTCCCACCACTACTCTCTTCAGATCTTCCACATCTCTCAGCTCAACTACTGCAATGGGTCAGTCTAGAGATTTTTACTCACCATCTGAAGTAGTAAGACCTAGGCAAGTGTACTCCAAAAAAAATTCCTCAGGTTATTTTAATTTGCACTCTGGGTTAAGAAGTTCTGAGACAGGTTTATTTCTCACTTGGTTCTGTCTTCTTCAGTCCATTCTCTCATAAACTACTAACATGTAAGCTTGTAAAAATCAAGTCTGACTTCATTCTTACCCCTGCTTATCACCCACTTATAGCACAAGTGACATCATGGACAAACTGAAGTCTGTACTTGAATATGGCATACAAGGCCCTTCATGTCTAGTACCCACTTCTCCACTCCTGCTGTTTCATCCCCTCATTTCACAATCAATACATATCTGCTAACAATTCCCCAGATACACTGTGCTAATTCACACTACCATGCCTTTGTACATGCTCTTTCAGCTCCCTAAAATGCCTGTCCTGTGAGACAGATGTTTCAAAATTCAGTTCAGACATTGCTTCATAAAATCTCTTCTGCATCATTTTAATAACTTGTCCACAAGTCTATAACAAAACTTATATTAAAAATTGTTTATATACTGATACAGTTATTCAAAACATGATTGCCTACTAACACCAAGTATTATGCCAGGCCTTAATTATTAAATCATGAACAAAAAAAGACACAGTCCATATGGCATGAAATTTAAAGGCTATTGTGGGTATTGGTGAAAAACAAGCAAATACACAAATTAATTTATAATTACAAGTTGTGATACAGGCTATGAAGGTACAGAACAGGTCTTGTAGGTATTATTAAAGAAAAATAATTCAAAGAGAAATACATCTTTAAAAAAGCAACATTTATGCTGAACATGAAGAACAGCAGTTGGAAATCTATACTCTACCCCTGCAAAAAAAAGGAAGTTTCAAGAAAAGAGAATATTAAGAATAAAGGTCTTCAGTACAAAAGAACTTGAAGAAAATGAAAGAAAACCAACACATGGCTAATGCAGGGTGAGCAACAAAACAAGATGAGGCTGGAGAAGCAATAGAAACAGGTCAGTTAAGGTCTTGTAGGCATTATTAAAGAATGTGTATTGTATTCTAATTGCAAAAGGAAGCAATGAGAGAAGTTTTTATTGGTTCTTTTTAATTATACATGACAGTATAATCTATTTTGACATAATTATACAAGCAATGAGAGGATTTTAACAGGAGGGTGAACAGACATGATCTTATTTACACTTCTAGAATATTGTTCTTAGGGTTCTATGAAGTTTTGATTTGATGGTGGGAAAGAGGATCAGTGATAAGAGCAGAAACAACAAGATCAGTTAGCAGTCTATTGCAAAAACCACAAGATAAAGATGTCTAGGACAAGGGTGGTTAGAGTAGATGGGGAAAAGCAGATGGACTTAAGAAATACTTTGGAAGCAGAGTCAATATTTCTTGATAGCAGGTTTAGACATGTGAAGTGAGTGAGGAAACAGACATAAAAAATGGTTTTATTTCTTCAAGGTTATATGCAGATCAAATAGTGAAACTTTTCTTTTTTCTTTACTAAGATGGAACACATACACCTTTTATATTGTGTTCTTTAAGGATAGACAGAACTATAATGATAATAACCTAAGAGCACTCAATACATATTTGCTACATGTATGTACAAATATAAAAAGAAACAATTAAACAAACCTAAAGCACTATAAAGCACTGAATAAACAATTATAATGAATACTGGAAGAAGGAAAATCTCATACCGAACTGGAGTATGTGGAGGAATCACATTCACCTCTTCATCAGGGTTACTTTTTCGTGGTGTTCTTTGTGTGTCAAAACTAAATGGTAACCAAAATCATTCACATTATAAATTTGTAATTTGTGTTTTACGGGTCAAATAAAATACTTCCCGTCGCTTCATAAAATCATACAAATTGCTAAGTCATTAACAGAAGTGATAGGAAATAGATAACCCAACTGCTGCTCAAATTATTTTCTTCAGCACCATTTTAAAGTATGAGTCTCTTTTTAAAAATTTATTTATTTATTCTAATTTGCTATATATATGACAGCACAATGCATTTCAATTCATAGTACACACAGAGAGCACAATTTTTCATGTCTCTGGTTGTATACAAAGTAGAGTCACACCATTCATGTCATCATACATGTACTTGGGGTAATGATGTCCATCTCATTTCACAATCTTTCCTACCCCCAACCCTGTTTCCTCCCTTCCCAGCCTCTTTGCCCTATCTAAAGTCCCTCCATTCTTCCTATGCTCCCCTCCCATCCCCATTATGAATCAGCATCCTCATATCAGAGAAAACATTACACATTTAGTTTTTTTGGGATTGGCTTTTTTCACTTAGCATATTATTCTCCAACTCCATCCATTTACCTGCAAATGCCATGATTTTATTCTCTTTTAATGCTGAGTAATATTCCATTGTGTATATATACCACAGTTTATCCATTCATCTACTAAAGGGCATCTAGGTTGGTCCCACAATTTAGTTATTGTGAATTGTGCTGCTATAAACATTGATGTGGCTGCATTACTATAGTATGCTGTTTTTAAGTCCTTTGGGTATAAACTCAAGTGTGGGTCTCTTTCTACTAGGTTTATGACAAAGAGATGTACCCACTTTTAAGCAGATTCTCAAAAGTGAAAGTTAGCCGTTTTCTTGCTGGTGACATTAATAACCAAGCAGTTGAAGTATTTTAAAATATCAAAGCTCAAGTTTTGTATCACACTGTGCCTTCTAAAAATTTTGTCTACTTAAATTTAAAACATTTTACTCTACTTAATTTCCAAATTACATGTAATATTATAATAAATCTTGTCCATTTATATATTAGGATCCTTCCCAATAATTCAAGAAAATAAACTTGGCATTAACTTTTTAAATGAATGAAGTGGGCAATAAGAGATTAAAAAAAAAGATAAAAAAACAGAGACCACCACTTGAGTAAACTAATTAGTTTAACCATTTTCTTTTGGTGTACATGTATATTCAACTATCTGAAAAAAAGATATATATTGTTATAGAATATAATTCATATTAAATCTCTACATTGTTAAAAAATTATATGCTTAGAATAGATACTGTTACTTTTTTCTTTAAAGGCATTTAAATTAACTTATTATAAAATGATGTTTATTTACAGGTAAGTAAGTTAATAAAAACCTATCTTATTTACCTATATCAATATCAATCTATATCAAAAGCATAACAAATAAAAATATTCCATGTGAAATACCTGTCTATAGGATCAGTCTGAAGAGTTTTATCATGATCCAAAAATAATCTTGCATCCAGATCTTTGTTTTTAAGGTAAATTTCCTCATATCGCTTAGAAAGACTTTCAACCTCAAAAGAAAAAAATACATAATTATTCTTTTTGTTATTATCTTTTAACACACAGAAGCAAATTTCATTAAAGAATGTTTATGCAATATATATTTTACAGTATACATTAAGTTCACACGCAATATAATTAAGACCTAACTAAAAGTGAAGTCTAGAAAACTGCAAATTTTTTTCAACTTAATTTTTTTATATTTATCCCATTTATTAGAATTTTATGTAGACAAAGAATCACCAATGCCACAAAACAGAACTTAAGATAAAAAATAGGTTGAATATTTCTTACACAATATGTTTGGAACTAAAAGTCTTTTGTATTTCAAGGTTTTTTGAATTTTGGAATGTTTGCACATATAAAATCAGCTATCTTGGGCATGAAATCCAACTCTAAACATCAAATTCATGTATTTTAATATACACATTAAATGCATAACCTGAAAGTAACTATATAATATTTTAAATTTGTGCATGAAACAAAATTTAATGGTACAGAATTTTCCACTTGTGGTAATATCAACACTCAAAAAGTTTCAGATCTTAAGAGAATCTCAGATTTCAGATTAGGAATTTTTAACTTTACTATAATCAGTTAATTGCTAAAAGCCTTCAAATATCCCATATATCCTTAACTTTTAACTTTCTACTATATTTATCAATATAAAACTTTATTTTTTTAAACATATAGCAAATCCTCTTGATTATATGTCCAACCCATCTTTTCTAAACCCTCTGGTCCACTCTACATCCTTATAGTTAAATATCTTGGGCTTAATTAATAAACCCAGTTAATATACTTGTACAATATAATAAGCTCAATTAATAAACCAACTAACATGTTTGTACAAATAATTCTCAATGTCAGATATTTTTAAATGGCTATAATCTATAAGTTGTTTATCAGCTCTGATCGATAATTTCATAATCATAATTTAAAAATCAATGCCCAATAGACAACTATTGGCATGCTCTCTGTTGTGACTTTTTTTTCCCTATATTGAAGGGTAACCTCAGGGCTTTGTACATGCTAAACATGGGCTCTACCACTGAAAACACGACCCCCAGCCCCTGCTTTGACCTTTAAAGACAAAGTGTTTCCAACCTGAGAGAACTAAAATTGCATTCTAAAAGGAAGGGTAAGAAGAAACCCAGTTGAATTTAAACTTTATTTTTGTCTATATAAGCGTATTTGGCAGAACAGTCTTTCATGCTCGATTAACTGGTTCCTGCCAAATCATAGTGAGGCATTAATTATTAATCATGTACTGACTGGCAGTTGTATGCAAAATATTGAGAAAAATGTCAACTTTCTCTTAAGATTTCTATTGAAACTAAAATCCTTTCAAAGATAGAAGGAGTATAAGTGGCTAAGACTCCTCAGAGTTACGAATAGCATATTTTTTGGTACCTAATGTGGTAAAAATATTCATTAATATACCTGGTTCCTTCTTTACTCTCCAAAACTATCTATCTCATTATTCTTCTGTCCTCTATCAAAACTTTAAAGAATTACTTGGAGTTTATTGAACAGGCAATACTTTCACAAATAACTGTGCCTCTGACTCTACAAAGTCCAGCCCCTGGAAATGCCATCTCTCATAAGGTTTTCTTAGCTTGGAAATCACACTACCCTCCAAATAATTTCCCAAAAAACTTATCTGCCCCAGTTTGGATTAGGTAATTCTCCTCTAAGATATCACAGGATCTTGAGCATACTTCAAACACACTCTTATAAAGACTACTGTAATGATCTCTCTCTTTGCTTCTCCTAATAGCACCTTAAGGATAGTGACTGAGTTAAAATTTCTGTATCAACAGTATCTCTAGCAAAATGCTTGGCACATACTAAGCACTCAACAAATACTTCATAAATCAATAATAAACTCAAGAACTAGCTTCCAGTTCAGGTCACAGAATCAGCAGTCCAGATATCTAATTCCATGCCTTTTAGTATTACTGACAAATACTACATACTTCTAAAGCACTGTTTTATAACTTTAAGCAAATTAATGTAATTCTTTATATCTTATCAGATCATAATGAAATGAAATTAGAAATTAACATAAAGAAAACAACAGAAATTACATAAAAACATGGAGATTGAGCAATACACTTTTGAATGATGAATGGTTTATAGAAGGTTAAAAATAGGAAGGGGAGAAGTTAAAAAATTCTTAGACTTAAATGAAAATAGCGATACAACACACCTGAATCTCTGGGACACCATGAAGGTGATTCTAAAAGGAAAGTTCATAGCTATGAGTGCATACAAAAGAATATCAGACAGATCCCCAATTAATGATGAATCACAAGGCCCTTGGGAAAAGAAGAACAAACCAATTCTAAAACTAGTTAAAGGAAAGAAATAAATAAGACTTGAGCTTAAATCAATGAACTTGAGGGAAAAAAAACAGTATGAAGGGTCAATAAAACAAAGAATTGGTCCTTTGAAAAGATAAACAAGGCTGATAAACCTTAACCAAACCAAAAGAATAAGAAAGAAGACCCAAATTAATGAAATTAGGGGTGAAAAAGCAGAAATCACCACAGATATCATGCAAATTCAGCAGGTCATTACAGAAAATTTTGAAAATTAATACTCGAATAAATTGGAAAACCTAGAAGAAATGGAAACATTTCTAGACACATACATTCTGCCAAAATTTAATCAAGAGGACACAGAAAATCTAAACAGATCAATAACCAGCAATGAAATAGAAGCAGTAACAAAAAGCCTTCCAACAAAGAAAAGCCCAGGACCAAATAACTTCTACCAGACCTTTAAGGAAGAACTAATGCCAATATTTCTCAAATTATTCCATGAAATAGAAAGGGATAAACACTTTCAAATTCATTCTATAAAGCAGGATCATACTCATACCAAACCAGAAAAGAACACATTTGGAAAGAAAACTCCGACCAATGTCCCCAATAAACTTAGATGCAAATCCTTACTAAAATATTAGCAAATTGCATTCAATAACATATTAATAAGATTGTTCATCACAACCAAGTTGGTTTTATCTGAGATGCAAGAATACTTTAACTTAAGCAAATCAATAAATGTATTTCATCACATAAATAGAATTAAGGACAAAAATCAGTCATCAGAATAGACGCAGGGAAGGACTTCTACAAAATTCAGCACCAATTCGATTCATGATAAAAACACTGAAGAAACTAGGGACATAAGGAACCTACGTCAACATCATAAAGGCTATACACAAAAAGCCCAAAGCTGACCTCATAGTAAATGGGGAAAAACTGAAAGCACTTACTTTGAAATCTTGAGCAAAACAAGAATGTCCACTCTTACCACTTCTATTTAATACAGTGCTAGAAATTCTATCCAGAGCAATTAGGCAAGGGGGAGCAAGGGGTAAAAAGGTTAAAAATAGGAAGGGAAGAAGTCAAATTATCACTGTTTGCAGATGATATGATCCTATATTTAGAACAATAAGAACTATAGAATATTAAGGACAAAATTGAAGAAGACCTCAGAAGATAGAAAAACTTCATAAGTTCATTGAATAGGCAGAATTAATATTTTTAGAATGGCCATACTACCAAAAGCAATATAAAGATTCAATGCAATTCCCACCCAAATACCACAGAACTAAGAAAAAACAGTTCTAAAATTCATTTAGAAGAATAAGAAACCCACAATAGCCAAAGCAATTCTAAGCCAAAAAAGCAATGCTGGAAGCATCACAATAACTGACTTCAAATTATAGTATAGAACTAGAGTAACAAAAACTGCATAGTATTGGGTAAAAACAGACACTTCGACCAATAGTAGAGAACGGAAGACACTGAGACAAACTCACATACCTACAGTCATCTGAACCCTTGACAAAGCTGCCAAGAACATACACTGGAGAAAGAAAACCTTTTTTCCACCAGTGGGGGTTCAGGGGATTAAACCCAGGGCCTTGTGCATGCTATACAAGCACTCTACCAACTGAGCTATATCCCCAGCCCCAAAAGAAAGCCTTTTAACAAATAGGGCTTCGAAAACTAATTATCCATATGTAGAAGAATAAAACTAGATCCTTATCTTTCACCCTGAACAAAAATCAACTCAAAATGGATCAAAGATCTAGGAATTAGACCAGAACTATGTAACTCCTAGAAGAAAACAGAGGTTCAACATTCCAGCATACAGGCACAGGCAAGAACTTTCTCAATAGGACACCTAAAACTCAGGAAATAATGCCAGTGTTAATAAATGGGATGACATCAAATTAAAAAGCTTCTCCACAGAAAAGACAACAATTAGGAATGTGAAGAAAGAACTGTCAGAGTGGGAGAAAAATCTGTGTTACGTACTCTTCTGATAATTGAATAAATCTAGAATATATAAAGAGCTCAAAAAAACTTACACCAACAAGCCAAATAACCTACAAATAAATGGGTGAATCAATTAAACAGACATTTCTCAAAAAAAAAGAAATAGATAGCCAACAAATACATGAAAAAATGTTCAACATCATTAGCAATTAAGGAAAAGCAAATCAAAACAACACTGAGATTTCATCTCACACCAGAGTGGTAGTGATCAAGAATACAAACAATAATAAATACTGGAGAGGATGTAGAGAAAAAGGACCACTTTTATTACACTGTTGGTGGAATTTCCATACTGTGAAAATCAGCATGGAGGATCCTCAAAAGACTAGGCATGACCCAGTTATTTCACTTCTTGGTATTTACCCTAAAGAATTAAAGTCATCATACTACAGTAATACACACATACTCATGTTCATAGCAGCACAACTCACACAAGACCAACTGATGTCCATCAATGAATAAATGGATAAAAAATGTGATATATACAATGGCATTTTATGTATGTGATATATACAATGGAATTTTGTTCAGTCACAAATAAAAATGAAATTATGTCATTTTCAGGAAAATGAATGGAACTTGAGACCATTATGTTAGGCAAAATAAGTCAAACTCTGATGGTCAAGGGTCATAATGTTTTCTCCAATTTGTGGAAGTTAAAGAGGAAGAAGAAAAGAAAGGTGGGGTAGGAGATGGATCTCAGAAAAATCAAAGGGAGATAAGTAAGGGAAAGAGACCAGTGAGTGGGAGGTGCAGAGGGAGGGGGGAAGTGCTTGGGAGTTATACAGGCCAAATTATATTGTTAATATTATATGTATGTATAAATATGTAACAATAATTCCCATCATTATGAAAAACTAGCTATAATGCACCAATTAAAAAAAGGTAGAAAGAGGAAAGAAAATAAAACACTGCTTTATCCCTGAGTACCTATTTATCATTTATCAGCCAGGCACAGTGGCATATGTAAGTAATCCCAGGGGCTCAGGAGGCTGAGGCAGGAGGATCATGAGTTCAAAGCCAGCCTCAGCAAAAACAAGGCACTAAGCAACTCAGTGAGACCCTGTCTCTAAATAAAACACAAAATAGGGCTGGGAATGTGGCTCAGTGGTTGATTGCCCCTGAGTTCAAAAAACCAGGCAGCCTTTTCCTCACATAGTTCTCATCACCACAGTTCACTTTAACTTGCAAAGTTCTCAGTTGTTCTATTCTCAGTGAGAAGATACTTATGACAAAATGTAAAAAGAAACACAAATGGATGGTTCACTAGTAAGGTAAAATATTTCTGCAATACAATCAAAGTCATTTCAACCATATTTATTTTCAATCAAGCAGCTTTTAAAGATATTCAAAGCAGATGTTCCACATTACAGTAATGCCAATAATGTTGCTTGAGTTCTGGATCCTATGCTTTAGAATGTCCAGCAAAACAAATCAGAATTAAATCTGTGTATATTTAGTTGTATTTAGGTATTTAATGGCATTTAGAAATTTAAAAATTTAGACTCTGATTTTCAAATAATAATTTCAGTATAAATAAATTTCTAGTACAAAACATGAAATGGTGCTTACTTATATATTAAAATAGATCTTCAAAAGTATTTTTCTATCACCACACAAAACTTGATTACACAATTCTACTTAGAGTTCTTTCTTTAGGCAAAAAACTATCTTAATTGATCCTAAGAAACTTAGACAACTATCTTCCCTCCCCAAAGTCTCAAAACATACTAATTTTCTATTAAATTTTCTTTCAGATTACCTCTGGAAGTCCATTAGAAGCTACAATTCCAAGAGAATTCATAAAGGGTATAAAATTTTTGAAATAAACATTTTTCACCTGAAAAAGATATTATATGACATTAAAATATAAAACAAATGAAATTCAATTTGTCACTATTAACACTAGAATGAGAGTATTTACTCACATTTAATCAATGACACACATTCAAGCTAGTGATATTTATTTATAATTAATTCATTTATTTACTTTTTAATGTACATGAATCAGATTCTAGGTCCTAAAATGGAGATAAGTAGAAAATTGTTATTGTAATAGGAACTACTAGAAAAGAAGGCATTAAAAAGAATTTCAATATTTCACATTTAACAAACAACAAAAAAGACAGGGCACTCAAACAAATTAAACAACTTGACCAAAGCTGCACAATTATAAAGTGGCAGAGCCAGAATTAAAATCTAATCTATCATCAAAGGCACCATTCTTCATTTCTTTATACTGTTTCTCATTTTTCCCCAAAGTATATTTTGGATCATTTCACACTAGGGTCATTTGATGTCTGCTAAGAAAATACCAAGGCAATTTTTAAGTATAAATCTAAGAAAATAATTAATTTTACACACAATAATTCATTTCAAAACCAAATAAAAATGTTTTTTTGGAAATATGCATTTTCATGGAAAAGCATCCCACAGGTAACATGGATTTTAAAGAACTGCACTCAGAAAACATGAAGCTATATTCTAAACCTGTAATATGTTATGTAATTTTAAATGACTTGCTTTCCTTTATTTAACTTCCTTTTCCAAACTTGGAATCTACATTTACTAAGGAAACAATAAGTTAATATCAATTCCTACCTTATACTTCACAAATAAGATTTAAGAATTAAGTCTCTGAAATATTTATTATCTTTGTTTTCTAAAAAAAGTCCACTTATCTAGAAAATTTACAATATAATATTTATCCAATTAGTATGAATGACCAATAGTTATAGCCATAAATGCTATATTTAAATAATCACTTTTAGATAATCCAGTATCAATTAATTAAAACCCCCCAAAGCTTTTAGTTAACTATATTTTCATCATAACTATAAACATTTTAAATTCTAGGAAAAAGTACTTTACATTGATAAGTTAAAAAAATGATTTAATCTTAAAAATGAAATTTTAGCTGGATGCAGTGGCGCACACCTGTAATTCCAGCATCTTAGAAGGCTGAGACAGGAGGATCACAAGCTCAAAGCCAGCTTCAGCAAAAGCGAGGCACTAAGCAACTCAGTGAGACCCTGTCTCTAAATAAAATTCAAAAAGGGTTGGGGATGTGGTTTGGTGATCAAGTGTTCCTGAGTTCAATCCCCAGTACCACAAAAAAAAAAAAAAAAAAAAAAAAAAAACAGAAAAGTGAAATTTTACAAGTAGTTATGAAATCCAGAGAATTAACAATGTGAAATGAGAAAACTATATTTACTACCATTCATTATCTTGTAAATAAGAAACAAAAATAGAGTTAAAAGAAATATTTCAAACTATACTCGTTAGTTTATTTGCAAAGATAAATTGTGATTCTAGAAAAGTATATATACATATATTTTTTTACAAAGTTGATATGTCTATACACACATATCTATTTGTTGACGTTAATAAGAACTACAATGCTAAAACTCAGATATATTGACAAATCATTCTAATCTTTCTTAAACTAGATTTTTGGGAGCATAATACCATTCCTTCCCAGCATTGCCAGAGAAATCTTTAAAATGCAACATTTCATACTACTATCTAATAGTGTTGAATTGTGGACAATATAACAGAGAAAAACAAGCTGGTAGAGTAAAAGTAGCCCTGGTACCAGATGCCTCAAACTCTAATGTAGAGTCTATTAATAATGAGCTACCTATCAGTCTCTGGAAGTCATTCCTGGATGAATATGTATTCTATACTAACCATTAACAGTCAGCTTTGTTTAGAAAGTGACTAGTTACATAAGGCTAAGGAGAAATTTAATGTTAGTATCATTTATCATTAAACCAAAACATCAAGGTCTTCTTGGCAGGGCATTTTAAAATATTAGGGGTACTGATAATATCAGTGGAATCAAAGAAGAAATACATTTGAAAGCTATTATCTTTATGATATACATTTCTGTGATTATAGAGTAGAGGAGCCAATCTCTTTAAAAGCAAAGTAACTGAATATGAAAAATAATTTTTTTCTAAAATATGTTGCTACTGGAAAAGAGTTGACACTAGTCAAAAGAAGCATACTCACCACAAAAGAAGTATATGCTATTAGAAAGAACTTTATCTAAATCTACTTTAACTGTTTAAAGAAAGCATATAGTGAAATTACCTCATCTATATTACATTCATGTTCTTTACAGAGAACTTCAATAATTCTTGTATCGTTTTCTAGTTGTTTTGCTATCCGTGCACTCCTGTTCTGACCTCGTCTAGGTGTTCGAGGTGAACCATTAATGGGTATTATTGCTGTTTCTGTAAAAACGATAAATTAGATAAGAACAATTACACATTCCATTGAATAAAATTATGAAGTATTCTAATTATAACTAGGAAAGTCAGAAATAATCTTGTTAACATTCTATTTTTACTTATTAGCCTTCATTATAAGAATAACAATTTCTTTTTTTTTTTAAAGGAAAGAGAGAGAGAAAAATTTTTTTTTTTTTTGTAGATTGACACAACACAATGCCTTTTAGATTTTTATGTGATGCTGATAATCGAATCCGGGTCCTGCCCGTGCTAAGCGAGCGCTCTACCGATGAGCCACAATCCCAGCCCTAAGAATAACAATTTCATCTTATTTATTAGATACCTATTTCAAGTTATAATACTGACAGGAGTTTTTGCCCCGAATAGCACAAAAAGAACTAGAAAACATCTGTGGTCCCATAAACAGAGAAGACCAGAGAAACAACCAATTTCTAAACTAATTCTAAGTGTATCCTACCCAGTATGCAAAAGGAAAAAATGTTTTCTATCTTAGAGCCCTAAAAATAATGAGCAAATATTTACAGATTCAATTTCTAATACAAAAAAAATTTTTAAAGCTTTAGTACATTATGATATTTTAAAAACAGATTTTATAAATATAATTTCCTGATAATAAACTGTGATTTTTTAAAAAAACTCCCTGGATTATTGTGCATACTACTGATTCAAAACGAACATAGGTTCAGCTTCTAAAAAGATTTTAGAAGATTAAGTATAAAAAGTACTTATTGCTTCTAGACATCAACTTACAAGAAACTGAGAAGACAGAAGAACATATACCATAGGATATTATCAGCAAAAACTAGACTAAAACTCAACTGGGAAACTCAGCAAGATTCCAGCATGATTGATTGATTATTTATTTGCTTATTTGTTTATTTATATCAGTTCTGGGGACTGAATGCAAGGCTTTGTGACTGCTAAGCACACATTCTATCACTCTGGTTGAATAAATAAATTATGAGGAAAAAATAAGAAGAGAAACATAGAGAAGGAACAACTTTATTTCTTTTCATTTGTTTTTCTTTTGTTGCAGTGGACTGAAATCAGTCCTTCATGTTCTCTACCACTAAAAAAGCCTGGAAGAAGAAATTCTGAAAAGAGTAACAAATGATCACAAAGTGTAGATCTTATTTAAACTCTGATTCAGTCAACCTACAAAAAAGTTTATACTAGGGGCTGGAGTTGTGGCTCAGTGGGCAGAGCGCTTGCCTAGCATGCATGAGGCACTGAGTTCGATCCCCAGCACCACATAAAAATAAACAAAATAAAGGTATTGTGTCCATCTACAACTAAAAAAAAAAAAAAGTTTAAAAAGTTTAAATTACAGTTATGAGATAAAAAAGGTATATTTACCAGATACTTGGTGATATTAAAAAAAATCATTATTAGATGTGATAATAGTACTGTCATTATGCATTTTAAAAACCACTTACCTTTTAAAAGATTCACACTGAAATAATAAGGTATTCAAAGATATGCTTCAAAACAAAGCTGGGGGAACTGGGCAGGGGAAGAGACAATAGATTGGTCACAGCAACTGTTGAAGCTATTAAGTGAAAAGTATATGAAGACTTAAACTACTGTCTACTTTTGTATTCATTTGAAATTCTCCATAACAAAGCAAATTAAAATTATACCATACTCAGTCAATTCAATAACTTATCCTTGATTCTATTTAACACAGCACTTAAAAGAATTAAATGTAGTTTTGAATTATCCCAAAAAACAAAGATGTAAACCTAAAGTAACACATGACATCAACTTTAAAGTTATAACACTGAAAAATAAGTGAAGGCAGCTAAAGGAAAGTTTAAAAAGTTGGGGGAAATTTGAAGCATATTTATTATTTTCTATATATAATTTTTGAGCTTTTCTCCTTTTGATTTGCATTTCAATTCTGCTAAGTGAAGTTTCCTGTCTTCTCTGCCAAATCATGTTCAAAACATTGAAAATTCTACTTCACACTTCATTTTTCCATGAAGTTTTGTTCATAAAGATTAATTACAGCTCAGTCTTTCAGCCACTTTGAGACTTCAACGTTTTGATCTGTCATCTATTACTTTTAGGATTAACACTTTCATCATTTCAGGAGCAAGGAATCAGACCATACCTTGTTAAGTTTACATTTTTCTACAGTATAATAAAAGATTCTGAAATCCTACAGGTAAGAGCCTCTTCTCTTCTTTACTGAGAATACCCTTCTCTAACCTCTTCAACCTAATCTTAACTACTTATTCTTTAACACTCATTTCAAATATCACCTCTTCTTTATTTTTGGGGCTTTTCAGAAGAAAACTTTTATTATCTCCTGAACAAACAAAGCATTTCCTTTATTTTTACTCAGATTATTTCTACCAGATTCTCTGATTGGGTGCTTAACATCTCTTACCTTTCCTCTTATAATTTATGCTATCTGAGGGCTGCTTATAGTTTGGATATGGAATGTCCTCCAAAGACCTAGGTTGTCAAAGACCTGGCACCAGCTTGGTGTTATTGGGAGATGATGAAAATTTTGTTAACTTAATGATCAGCAAAAACTAGATTGTGGAAAACTCAACAGGACTCAATAGGTAGGGAATAGTCAGAGGTATGGGGCACACTTTAAAAGAGAAAAGTAGACTCTCAGCCCCTTAACTCTCTTTCACTCTCTCATCATAAAGTGAACAATTTTGCTCCATCATGAGTTTCTGCCATGATGTGCAACCTCACCACAAGCCCAAAGCAACAGGGCCAGTTGTTCATGGACTAGAACTTCCAAAACTGTGAGCTAAAGTAAACCTTTCTTTGCTCTTAAGTTGATTATCTTGGATATTTGTTACAGTAATAGAAAGTTGACTAACACAAGAACAGAGCCTATTTCTGATTTATTTTTTATCACCCTCTCAATTTAGAACCATACTAGAGCTACCAGACATCCAATAAATAACTGATAAAGACAAAGGAGGAGCTTAAATTACTTAAGAAACTTACTATATGGTTCTTTGAGCAGTGCAGGAGGTGAGAGTTTGATAAAATAGTCAAGCACACATAGCATTAACTGAAATGAGATCACCAGATCATCTTCCATTTGTAATACTTCTCCTGAAAATAAAAAAAAATTCACATTTTTAAGAAACGTTAGAGATTGATATGGGTATATTCACATATTTATTCATTTTATAAGCCTAAGCCAGAGAAATTGTGGGTATGGGTATATTCATATATTTATTCATTCTATAATCACTAGATTCATGATCAAAACCTTTTTCCTTTCTTATTTTCAAAAAAAAAAATCAGTCAAGGGCTGGAGTTGTGGCTCAGTGGCAGAGTGCTTGCCTCACATGTGTGAGGCACTGGATTCAATCCTCAGTACCACATAAAAATAAATAAACGAAATAAAGATATTGTGTGTCCATGTATAACTAAAAAAATTTTTTTTAAAATCAGTCAAGTCTAATAGACAAATATATATAATTATGAAATTATGAATCAGTATTGTCTACCCTGAGAATTTTACACTTAAGTATTATTACTAAAATTAATTTCTTATGTTTAAAATCATTTTGCATTTTGCTTTTCTAAAACTTATTATTACAAGCTATGGAATTTATTACTTCTGAAAATAATTTTGAAGTACGGTATATGCTAACTTTTAATCTAATGATTTATCAAACCTCATACATTTTCAATTCTAACACTTTCCAAAATATTACCAAAGCTATTATGAAATAACAAAATTAATATATAATTGTAAGGTCATCTATAAGTAATTATCCAGCACAAAATCCTAAAATTTCATATACTACATATACAGTAGAAGTATATGAGGAAATAACTACATGTAATAGATACCTGAGAAAAACAGTGTGGCTAAATACAATATTGCCTTCTTGCCTATGGTTCTAATATTTTAAAACTTTTCTTCTGGATATCTGCTAAACTAGGAGTAATCCCAACAAATACTGATGGAACAGAAAATATGTGAGAAAATTGTTAATGCTGAATCAAGTAAGTTTTTTAGATCCATAGGTATGGCGGAAAAGGTTCATAATATACTAAGACACTATTTAGAAATACCACAGAAGTGAAGAATGATATCAAGCACTTCTAGGTAAAAATAGTAGAATGTCAGATGAAAGAATCTCTCTTTTCAAAAATCTAATAAAAATGAAAAGGTAAAAATTTACTGGTTAAATGCAAGTAACAACATAAAATCTGAAGGTAACTAAGAGGGAATCCTCATCTTTTTCTCCTTCTGACTTGAAAGGACTAAATATTGTTAAAAGAATGGTAAAATGGAAGAAACAACTATAGTCAGTTGATAAAGATTCTTATATACTACACTCAATTGGGAACAATCTGAATCCCAACACAATCCTGTTTTAGAAGAAGGAATTATAGACATTCTAACAAAAACTCAAAAAAAAAATCACAAAACAAACAAACAAAAAACATCTCTACTTTCTCCCTTACCTTCTGAATAAAGCTTGGTATAATAAAAATACCTGCTGACATACTATAATTCTCTGAGGAATACAAACACATCACAGATAAAATGCAAGGTGACTGAAGGGAAATAAACTCATACTGCATCAGAGAAAATAAGAAGTCAGAGTTAGCCACATAAAGTCCCAGCAAGATAAGGAAGAAAAACACAGACATTATGCAAACATCTTCTAGAAAAGAAAAAAGTTGAATCATTACATAAGAAGAGAAAAAAAAATCAGAGAATCCAATGTGGAAGAGAATCTAAAAGAGGAAAATGACCTAAATCTTTATCAACTGACTATAGTTGTTTCTTCCATATAGGTTTCTTGCACTAAGAACTTAATGAATTCATATTATAAAAATAAGGGACTGGACAGTTTAGATGAAAACAGAAGGACTTGAGATAAAAACAGTCAACACACAAGAAAAAGACAAAAGATCAGAATAAAATAGGAGAAGATAGTAAAAAAGGAAGACAAAAACAATCCAATGTAAGACAGTTAATGTATCTGAAACAAAAGAGAATAACTTAATTGAATAGAATAATATTTTAAAATACAGGTTAGTAAGATTTCTCTGAAAAGAGCAGACCCTCCAATTTAAAAAGAAACATCGTGTTCTGAGAAAAATTAAGGTAGAATAATAAAAATCAAGAGACATCCTGGTAAAAACTACTAACCCTTCAGTTTAAAAAAGAGAGAGAGAGTAAAAAAGAATAAAAAACCAGAATTCTTCAAGTATTCAGGAACTAATGAAGAGGGGAAATTAAGCTAATCTCATATTTAACAACAATGTTTAATGCCAAAAAACAGGACTGGAAAGAAATAAAACCAAAAGGCCTACTGAAAAAAAAAATCCTCAATGGCAAAATCTAACCAGCTAAGAAATGAATCAGAATAAAGAACAGAAATGAAAAAGCTGTAATAAAGAAATTATGGTAAACTTAGGATACAGAACTGAGACAAACCAAGTGTAACAATTATAATTACAGATAGAATACAAATGTTATAATCTTTGATGATGAAATAATAATAAAATTAACTAATCTTGAAGTGGGGAGATGGAAGGTGACAGGACTTTGTTCTTCAAAGTGCATTTATATTGCTTCAAACCAAAATATGAAGTAAAGAAAATAAAAATTCCAATAAAAATTCCAATTTATAACTCTTTTTCATAATCTTCAGAGAAATATTTTAAGAAACAATCTACTTAAAGTGACAAAACAGTTTGGTTAATTTAAGCAACATCTTTTCTTCTGTATAATTTGAGTAAAATTAGATTTTGTATTTTAAAGATTACACTATAGTATAATCCCATTTTAAAAAACTATGTTTATGGATGCACTCACCTACTCATTTTTTAAACAAAATCATATACAAAGATATACCTGAAATAATAATTACACAATTTTAATGATGGTTATTCTTGAGTATACTTTGCATAATTTTTCTTTGCACCTTACTGTTCTGCTTAACTTATTTATCATAAGCAAATATCATTTTTATAAGATAGTAAATCTTTACCCTAGAAAATCAAAGAGTGCTTGTTTACCATGCATCAGAGTTATAGGTTCAATCCCTGGCACAGGAGGGAAAAAAAAAAAAAAGGAAGCAAGGAAGGAAGGAAGGAAGGAAGAAAGGTAGGTCAAAAAAAAGTCCAAAGTTGTTTCTGTTATTATTATTACTAAGAAGTTGTAGCAGTTAATAATCCATAATACTCAAAAAATGGAGTAGGAAGTAGATTTTTACACTTAATCCAAAAGAACACCAATTTCATTACTGCTTTTAAAATATCAGCATATAATAAACAGAGTGAATTTACCTTTAGCTAGTAAAAATGTGATCCAAGAAACTTTCAGCACCAACACAGAACTTACTTCAGTAGATACCCTAGTAAATAAATAGAAAGAAGAAAAAAAATTTAATACTGACAAAGGTTTTCAACTATGGCTTTGGAGTGATCTGTTTTGTTTTGCTTTAAATTACAGGACTGAGTTAAGTGCATAGTCTATTTTTAATGCTCAATTGATACCGGACTCTATCTCAATTCAAATGGTGTTTCTACCAAGATATTATATTTAGCCCATAGAACAGCATATACTTTGTAAAGGAAATACTGAATATCTGAATTGTTATTTAAAAATATATAAAGGATGGCTAGGATTGTGGCTCAGTGATAGCGGGCTTGCCTGGCATGTGTGAGGCACTGGATTCATTCTTTAGCAACCTATCTACACAATTTCCCTTTATATCAGTCATCTTCAATACTGAACTTCAGTGGGGCAGAATATCTCCTATCCTACTCATTCTGCTTCCAAAAAAAATCTCTGGAGCTCTACATGGGTATACTGTTAGAGAATGCATTATACAATTTAAAAAAATAATTTGGAAATTTTAAGATAAATCTTTAAATTTATTCATACACAAAATTATGCTGTCTTGTCAATAAAGTATCTGTGAGAGACCATCAATAAAGATTTAATCTAAGAACTGAATTTTTTCCTCAGAGTTAGCGAATGTTGCACTGAATCAATTTCCACGTTATTAGTCTCCTTTGTAGCATGAGGCATGTATTTATTTACAGGATAAATCACCTATATAGGACTTTATGACCTTAACTTATAAAGTAGCCTTTGGGGATAAAGGAAGAGATTCTGAGTCTCAGAGGAAGTGCCCACAAACCACTGACATGACAACTACAATTCCTGAGCAACACACTCTTGGCTAGATGCCCCTGACCCATGCCCTTGTAACATGAGAGCAATGCCCAAGTACAGGGAAAACTGGCCTGAAACTATGTAACTCCACCCTAGTTCTACATCTAGTCCATCCCCCAGCAACCATTCCTCTATAAATATTAATGTCTACCCCTCTATAAATATCAATGTCCATCCCAAGGGTTTGGTATCTCTCCCTCTACAGATAGCCTGAATTCTACCTTGAATGCATACTCCTTAAACCAAAGGCATCTCTCTTGAGATTGCCCCCATTCTCCCTTGAATATATACCTAAATAAACCTCTGAACATTTTCCTAAATAAACCTCTGTGTGTGCCTTTGACTGACACAAGCTGACATTGTCTTCATTCATGTATTCCACAAACCTCACTGGTCCTGAGTCAAGATCCCCCTTCTCTCTGGAAACTCCTTGGACCTTTTTCAGAGACATCTCTTCCCCCATGAAACCTTCATCAACCAAACTAACCTTAATGTTATCAATGTCTGCGACTATTCCAGAAAACCCTTTTTTAAAAAAAAAAACAAAATGTAATATGCTCTAAACTACTTACGAACTGCTGGGTTGTGTCAAATAGATACGTTCACATGTCCTAAAAGGAAGAAATAATTTTATTAACATTGTGGTGTTTTTTTAAAAGTTATTTTAAAAATATTTTCATAATATAGAAATCATAGCAATGTTATCATACTTTATTCATCTTACTTTAAGAAATACACATTTTGAAAACAAAAACACACATAGCATAATGAAACTAAGTAGGTTTTCCCATTTTGTGACATATCATATCACTGTAATATCTAATTAGAAAAGGACTGGATCCAAATGCTCTTTTTAACTCAAAATATATTTTATAATTGATGATCTGCTTAGAATCCAGATCAGGTAATAACTAATGACTATTTAGCTAATAGTTACATATAGTCATACAGTCTACCCTGTAATAAACAGGCTTTGGTATTATAATTAATCTCCCCAATAACTCTTCAGAAAAAGGTACTAATAAGACAGAAAAAAAAAAAAGTCCCTGCTGAACCAAGGCCAGTAAAGTTAAGGCTAAATTATCTCATATGAAAATACAACAAAAATTCTAAATCCCAGGCTGGGGATGTGGCTCAAATGGTAGCGTGCCTGCCTGGCATGCACGAGGCACTGGGTTTGATCCTTAACACCTCATAAAAATAAAATAAAGATATTTTTTAAAAATTCTAAATCCCTTTTACAAAGGCCTGAATGGTCTTTTAAGACCAAATATGACTACCCACTCTCCAGTTTTAAATCACTAAATGATTTTCCATTACCTTCAGGGCAAAGTCCAAACTCACTAGCAATGTCGTGATCCCTTCCTAACTTTTAGCCATTAGTAATATCAAAGTACCTCCTGCTTCTACTTGGGCTTTGTACACCTGCTAACTCTGCCTAGCAAGACTCAGTACCATTCCCCAATCCCATTTTGCTTGGCAAATTTCTATTTATCCTTTAAACAATTTAACAATGTCTTCTTTAATGTTTTTACCCCCTATCAAAATCAGCCCTACAGTTAACCTTCTCGATGACAATTTAATACTTTGCCCACTATATAATTTGTTGGCAAGATAAAAGTAAAAATGTCTTTGAAATTGCTAACATACACTTTTGCCTAGCTTGAGAGCTGCAAAGCCAATAGGATTATATTTGGGATTATTAAACATGTTTCTATAAACAGTTGATATAGGAAACAGTTCAAAATTGCTTTCTTCTTGGGCCTGATGCATTAAAATATAAGATTACTAAGAGTTAAAATTCTAATTAACATAGGTAATTCTATATGCAAAGCTTTTAAGTTGTGTTTTGATTTTAAAACTACAGAAAGCATAAAGCATGTTGTCATATTAAGGAGCAATTTGTCTAAATTCAGAAGTTTCATAAAATTGCTTTAAAATATAAACTTTAAAATGTAAGGCAGAAGGAAACCAGTGAATAAAAAGAAATATAAGAAAGTTATAGGTATGAAGATATATTTTGATAAGGAAGGTTAAAAGGGAAAGGAAATGCTTTCAGATGAAAAAGGATTTTGTATTCTAAGGTGAAAATTTTGTCCTAAAATCAAATGACTAGATAGTTCCAAGATGGGAAAAAGATAGGACAGAAACTAAAGTTGCAAACAAGTTGTACAGGGTCTAGGTGGATTACAGAGAGTTTCTGAAATGGCAGGTGTTATGGAGGGAGGCTTACATGTGATTGAATTGACTATAACTTGATAGTTATTCAAAGGATTTTCTAGGATCAGAATTTGGTGCACTGATGTGAGGTCAGAGTCTATTTCTGTACATTAGAAGCAACAGGGTTTTCTTGAGGTATTGATCTGCTTTGGGTATTATTTTCAGATAGCTGGCTTAAAGAGCAGAGATTTTTGTACTTTATCAAGATAATCTCATGTGTTTTCTGCTGACTTTAGGTTTTAATTACTTAAGGAAACTAAGTCTTGAGAGAATTAAGGCTTATTTAAGTATCTGCTTTAAAATCTTTTAGATAATCACTTTATAGCTCTGGTTAAATGAGCAATTATTAGAATATATTTGACACCCTGTGTGTCTAGAGATATGTATAAAACTGAGGGCTAAATATGTCGTGTATTTGAGCTTAGTCTAAATGTTATGCAAAGTTTATACAGTTAAAGCTGTAAAGGTTTAATATATGCAAGGTAACTGATCAGTGCTCTTTTTTAAACAATATGCAGAGTATCTGGGCCTTCAACCTATAAAATGGCCAATGAAACTTTTGATATTTCTGCATCTGTATGCTCTGATTGAAAAAGTGTTTTGTTATAGTATACATGAGCAGTCACATCAGGTAATAAGTCTATTTGTGGTTATTAAGTACTGTTTCCTAAACTTATAAGAAGTATAAAGCTATTCAATCTTTGTCAATGTTCTTAACCTATGTAGATCTGCTAAAGGCAAAGCCTTATAATTATAGCTATCCCTACTGAGCTATGAATTCTAAATTTCACTTCAAAAGTAAAAGCTAAATTAATATAAATAAAAGGACTTCAGTATAGCTGAGATACTTATTACTGTCTTCTTTGTATGTTAAAAGTACTTTCTCAAGTATACAAGCCTTCTAAAATGCAAAGTTTAGGAGAGTACTTTACCAAGCTGGTGTCCTCCAAACTAAAATGTTTAGAGATAGCATTCTTCAAGATTATGTTTGTATGCTCCTAACTGTATTATAACTGTATGCTCCTAACTGTATTATAACTATCATCTTTAAACAAAGATAATTAAATGTGCCCAAACACTCTGCACTCCAAGCAGCATCACTCTGATAATTATGAGATTGGACACTGTTCACTCAGGCAGTACATCTGTGAACAAGTATATTCTACTTCATTTTTTAAACATTTCACTTATTCTAAAAGACAAATTTGGATGGGGATTTATTTATATCATTTAATATTTTGTAATGGGATAAAAGTACCTGGCCTTTTGGGTATTCAACAAACTGAGACTTTGAAGTGAAAATCAAGAGAATAACAAGACTAAGAGGGCAGTCAATATTTTGGCCCTCCAAGGTCAGCCAGGACCCACGGGACAACAAAATTCCTCTAAATGTCCCTGGAACACTGGTGAATCATCCAAACTCCCTCTCAGGGTGATCTCAAAAACCTTGGAGACCAGGAGCCAACCAATGTACAGTCTGTAAAGAGGAGGGTAATTAGAGAGAGAAATGTTCCTAATATTTCCAAGAGAAGCCACATGGCCAGTAAGACCCTCACTCATTCAGGCAGATGGTACAACTGGTAGAGGAAAAAACAAAAGGAGTCAAGAAACCCTAAAATAATCCCTGAGGAGCTTCAATTGACCTTAACAGTAAGAAGGAAAAAAGGCTGATTTGAGGCAAATGTAAGGGCTATTTTGTCTTGAATACCCAGTAGTGCAAGTATAATAAAAAGCAAGTGTGTTATTACAGGGATAAAAGTCAAACAAAAAAGCCTAGATTTGACTTCAGGGATCTTAACCCCAAAGTTGGGACCCATCCCAAGACCAGTAGCATATTTCTACAAATAGACACATGCTGTGACCCCAAAATGGTCAATGGCTTGAGAACAATAGCAGCATAGTTAATGAGTCCTCTAAACTGATTTGGGAATATCTACACAAATAACAAGCTAAAACAAACCCAGGACTCCAGTACACCCATTTAAGCATGCTATACACCTAGATTCTTGCAGGGGTTACAGAGGTAGTGACATTGCTTGTTCTCTGAGACAGCTTATTTACCATAAAGTAACACTAAAAGCTTAACTAATGCTAAACTAGGACCTTTAAAATAAAGACAGAGATGGGGAAAAAAATTTAAAAAGATAGGGCTGGTACACTCAATGGCCTACAGTTCTTACTAAATTCCTTGGCCGTTACTTTGATCAAAAATAGAAGAGCATTAGATTTCTTATTGGCAGAAGGGGAAAGGATTTGTGCATTCTTAAACTCTACCTGTTGGATTCGGATAACATTTCAGGTCAAGTGGAGCTTAACATTAGGGAGATATAAAAGAAAATCTGATTTCCTTATATATAAAAGGAAATCCTTATAAGAAAGGATTATGGAAGACAAATAACAAATACTTCCTAATCTTATTTAGCTTCTACCATTTTTAGGACCATTAGTCCCCATTACCCTATTTCTGATTTTAGGGCCTTGCCTTTTTAATATGCTTATAAAATTTGTGTCTTCCAGGCTTTACTTGTTTCCAAGTTACGCTGACATTTCCTCTTAGTTTTCAACTCATCCGAGACTAAGTTTGCACCTCCAATTTGTCCCCTTTTGTTCAGGCAGGGAGAGATTTTATAATCTCCAGGGATATGTAGGATCAACACCCATGTATAGGTCTAAAGTAGCTATAAGAAGACTGAGAAGATTTTGTCCTTTTCCCCTTAGGAAGAAGAATAAAATCTATCAGGGGAGAATGAGACAGACAGGGACCATTATAGGGACAAAAAATCAGATAAGATCTGAGGGTAAAAACCTTTTATTAGAAGTCTTTTCCTACTCTTCAACTCTTACAATATATGGAATTTGCCTTTTCTTTCTCTCCTATTCTTAATAATAAATCAGAGACCAGATGTAGGATGGCACCTAGAAACCTCCAAGGATCTTTCCCATCTCAGCTACTTGATAAAAAGCTGGCCTTTTCTTCTTTTGATTTTTCTGTCCCTTCAATACAGTCTCCCCCTGTCCTTAGATAAAACTCCCCAAACAGTCTTGCTTGTATATTTGTACTCTCTGTCTAATTTTCTTTCTACTGTTGGTGGGTCAAAAGTTCCCATTTCTAGTACCATAAATACATACAAGTAGCCTGTAAGTTCAGGAAATGATGAATTCAGTAACTTTATCTCGGGTGGTTGATGTACATTGTAACTGTATAGGGAAGGGATAGAATATGCAGTGTTTCTTTAATGGGCATAAAATTTTAAAAAAAATATTTATTTTTTAGTTGCAGTTGGACACAATACCTTTATTTATTTATTTGTTTGTTTGTTTATTTATTTATTTATTTGTGGTGCTGAGGATCAAACCCAGGTCTATGCATTATCTCACTATATGTATTAGAACAGATAGGCACTATCATCAGCTTACTATATAATTAGAAAACTAAAGACTAAACTTGGATCCAAGATCATACATGACAAGTTGGAGCCTAAATTGAAATTCAAATCTGACTGACTCAAAAGAGTCCATTCTCTTCTCCAATAAAGTACCACAGTTTCCCTTTTTGGGGAGGACATCATATCCCCATCCTTTCATACTAACTACTTAAACCCCTCAAAATATAGAGATGAAATAAATATATATTTTTAATAGAATCTTAACATAAATCTGAATATAAGAAGAAAAATGCCAGTTTACTTGATTTACTTATTGATCATTGCTTCCCATTTATAGAAAAGATGGCAAACCCCTAAACAAAGTAAATTGTAAAGTGTGCAATACCTATTAGGTTATTCCATTTTAACTCTCTCTAAGTCTTCAGGAGAATCAAATACAAATTTATCAGCAGAAGGGGTTGAAAAAAAGTAAAACAGAAACTAACATCAAAGAAGATTCCTAATCTCAGACAACAAAGTAAAACAATCTAGAAGTAGCCAATTAAAATTATTATGGCTAGCACTGGAATTGTAGCTCAGTAGCAGTGCGCTTTGCCTGGCACAAGTGAGGCACTGGGTTCAGTCTTCAGTACCACATAAAAATAAATAAATAAAACAAAGGTATTGTTTCCATCTACAACTAAATTTTTTTTTAATTATTATGGCTGGGAAAAAAAATAAGGACTGTGCCCTAAACCAGCCCTAGCCCCAAAATTGTCTGTCTAGAAATAATCTGATGATTATAGATTTTTAAAATACTAATCTGTATAGAACAGATTTTTTTTTAACAACTGGCTTAAAGAAGTTCTTGCCTCCTTTTTCATTATAGAGGTAATACATCCTCCTTACCAGGGAAAATATCAATTAAAATTCTGGTCAACGTCTTTCCAATCATCTCATTCTGTGCATTAGTGATCTGGGTTTCTTCCTTATACACAGTTACAGAACATGACTATGACTTCATATGCATTGACTTCCTTATACGTAATCATAGTATGTTCTCCTTTATTTAATTAACATTAGAAGCATGTTGGTCCTCATCAAAATTCATTTTATAATTATACTTTTTTTTCCTTTTTATAATGCTGGGGAATGAATCTAGAACTTCATGCATACTAGGCAAGCACTCTACTACTGAGCTATATCCCCAATCCTTAATTGTACTGTTTTATGTCTAGATTATACTTATAATGTTTTTTGTTTAACTTCAGTTGTAAATAAACACACTGTATTTTTTCATTATTCTAAAAAATATTGTAACAAAAATCTCTACAGCTTCTTTTTACATTTGGGATCATATTCTTATGATAAGCTCCCAGATATGAACTAAGTGGTTATAAAAAAATTTAAAGGACAGAAAGAAAATTATAAGTCACTATTAAATGATAAAGGAACTATATACAAATCAATATGATCAATATAACATAAAATGATATCCTAAGAAGCATAAAAAGTGATTATCTATTAACACTAAAATTTTGGTTGATTAGTATTTTTTTACTAATACTTTTCTGTGCTAAGTATTCTATAATCAATTCACATTTCTTACGTAATTACTTAAGTCATTTCTTTAATAATAAAAAGTTCCCTAAGCAGAAAGCTTCTACTTCAAGAAGGTGGGGATATGGTCAATTGCTATTATTTTACAATTAAAACACAAGAAGAAGTAAAGACATTCCCTCAAGACCCAGGCCAATTTTGTTGTTGTTTTGTATTTGTAGTTTCTCTCTACTTTTCTCATCCTTATCTCATTTCTGAAGTTTTAGTGACATACAAATTAAGAAAAAAGGGGGAAAAAAGGTGCATGCTTTTGAGAAGACGTTTCTTTCCAGCCTTGTCTCCATACTCATTCTCCCAGAATATTTAAGGACACACAGCTCTTTTCCTTTCTTCCCTTCTCCCTAACTATTCTATTATATAATTGCTTATTTAGCTAAAACATTAATTTTTACAGGCACTCAAATTCAATGAGCTCTCATACAAGCAAAGGAACAGATATATGCCATATTAAGGGGTACAGTGCTTGGATTAGAAGACTACAGTTTGGATTAAAAGACTATCAAAACTTAATTCAAGCTTATTTCTTATTCTCCAAGTTGAACAGTAATGATGAAATCTCTTCTAGATCACCAACATGAGCACAAATCATAACTTGGTCATACATGTCACATATACCTTCCATGGCCATTTCCCCCCCTTTCTAAATAAATATCTTGGAAAGACATTAAAATTTTGGTCACTATTCAGAACTAGGTCTCCTCGCAGATAAAGCTAAAATAGGAACTAAGCTTAAAGCTTGAGAAAATAAATGAGACACAAAGGGATAATGAAACAATTTGGAAGAAACATTCAGAATATACATATGACTAGATAAAGAAGATAGCTAAGAATAAGAAATTAAGAGCAAAAGGGACATGTCCAAGGAGTAATAATTAATAACTTTACTAAATATATTATCGTTATCAGATAGAATGTAATTATGAACAAAGACATAAAAAAATCAGGGTACAATAACCCTAATAAAATTCTTTATTACCTTTCTAATTTACTGTAGAGTGCACACAATACATCATACTTCTTCAACAGTCTTGACACAGCATTATCAACTTTCGTACTGGTATCAATTTCTTTTAGTAAGTCAAAGAATTTATAGACACTACAAAGCAAAGAAGAAAAAAATCAATCTAACTGTCAAAATTTGTTTTATTTCATTTTCAAAGAAGATACATACCAATGCAAAGGATTATTAGCTCTATTCCAAATTATTATCATGTACTTTAGAAAGAATTATTTTTTGCATTTTACTAGAATTTAAGGAGGAAAAAATTAGCCTTCAACCCATGTCCTAACATCTACCTACCTATACTTAAATCAACTTAGGGTTGAGAAAAAAAAAAGGGGGGATGGTTATGAAGGGACACATGCATTTATATTTATTTGTAAATCTATCTGTATGGATTTTTTAAATTGAAGTTGTCTTTTCAACTAAAAACACAAAATTATACATATTAAAGTGTACCATGTGATGTTTCAATACATACACACATTGTATAATGAGGTTAAATATATCTATCGCCTCAAACATTTATCACTTCTGTATGGTGAAAACATTCAAAATTCTTTCTTCTAGCTTTGTGAGATATACTGTACATATGTAATCACTATCTATAGTCACCCTATATTTGTACAATTTAAACATCATGAGTTTCTAGAATGCACAAGGCCTTAGATTCACTTCAATTTATCTGATTTCAACACAAAATCATATTACAATTAAAACACAAGAAGTGACATTCCAAGTATTTAGTGTTTATTCTACCCATAAGTAACCACCATCCATCTCTAAAGTCACCTACTCCCCCATGTGGACACTCTCAGACTGACTCCATTTTCTGGATGGCCCACCCCTTCAAGTAGACATCTACTTCAGCCTGGTACTCTGACTCCTTACACTAGGTTGCCCTCCCTTGTATTTAACTCTTAGACTGGCTGCCCATCTATTCTGCTTGGTATCTGACATTAAATACCAAACAGCTCACATTAGGTTGCCCCTCACATATCCATGTGGACACCCCTCCCCATGTGGATCCCTTCTTTGGCTCTGACATCTTCTCTAGGTCCCTTTTTGGCTCTGATATCTTCTCCAGGCCCCTCAATATTCCCCTGACACAGATGCACACTGACACATTCTTTGCCCTACCAATGGTTTTAGGACTGAATTATTGGAGAAGGGAAAAGTAAAGCTGATGAAAATTTTAATTTGATTAAATAATGACTTTAGGTCACTCATTGTTTTCTATAAAAATTAATCTTTGAAACATCAGTAAATACATTTTTAATAGGGCATTCAAGATAGCAATTATCAACTGCAACTCATACACTAATTTCTAACTAATTTTGCATAAATAATTAGGCCAAAGCAGCTAAATGAACCAAAGAATTTTCACTGGATCCAATTACAGACTGCCCAGCAACCAAAGAAAGCTTCACCTAAACCAGGTGCAATGGTGCGCACCTTTAGTCCCAGCACTTTGTGGAGACTGAGGTGGGAGGAGTATTTGAGTCCAGGAGTTTGAGATAAATCAGGGCAAAACAGTGTGACTTCATTTTTTAAAAAGAGGGGGAAATAAAAAAGCTACAGTTAATCAGCAGGTGGCACAGAATCCCCAAAAAAGTTATTAAAAGTTCCCATCCTATATAAGGGATGTGGGCAGCCACACAAGTTTTATGGAAAAGCAAATAAAGATGGAGTAGAAATGATAGAAAAAAGAGAATATCAAGATGTTGATTAGAAGATAAAAGAGAATGGAGTAAATATGCAGTGTCCAGAGGAAAAAAAAAATCAGCTTTAGAATAGTATTTATTTTGAGATGGTCTCTGCCCAGTCTGGCCTCAAATTTATAATCCTCCTGCCTCACCATCCTGAGTTGTTGGGATTACAGGTGTGTGCCATCATGCGTGGCCCCAGAATAGAATTTATTAAGGAACCACACTCAGTTTCTGCTTTTATGAAGTATAACAGCTATCTATCCATGGAGTACCACAAAAACTGAGTTGTTGTAACAAAGTCTTCTTTTTCTAGGGTAACTTAAGAGAAGGAGAAAAGGAAGGAAGAAAGGGAGAGAACAAGAGTGTTAATGCCTGTAGTTCTGGCATTAACTCTATGAACTATTTATGTTATTTCTATTATTTTGCATATTTATGAATACACAATGCCTTTGTTTCCACATTTTATTTAAAGATAGTAAAAAAGTGTCATAATATATAACAATTTAATCTAACTCATTTAAATAATACACCAATTATGTTTAATTCAAGAAGAAACATACAGCCATCCAACTGTTCAAATTATTTACTATTGTATTCTGTAAATATGTTGCAAATGAATGACTCAGAGTCCTGGAAGATTTCTCAACACAAAGTTTGTGAATCACTGCAAACAAATTAATACACTTTTCTAAATCTTATAAACTCAACAAAATATTTATTAAGTAATTACCAAGTCAAGTACTACTGTACATACAGTAGTCTAAATACATAGTAGACTGAAAAATGTATGTAATTATAATAACTACTATATTAAAATCTTAAATCTTAATAAATCTTCCCTAAATTCCTTTAAAAGATATCACTTTTATAAAGGTTTTAATATATAATAAACCTATTTTATATATCTTTTCTTTTTTTGTCCAATTTATCAACAACTATAATTAAGTCTATAGATGAACAATGAGAGACAAAAATTTTGCCAGGACACAAATTACAAAATTTTTAAGAGATGCAGTATGGGCTGGGGATGTGGCTCAAGCGATAGCGTGCTCGCCTGGCATGAGTGCGGCCCAGGTTCGATCCTCAGCACCACATACAAACAAAAATGTTGCATCTGTCAATAAATAAATATTTAAAAATTCTCTCTCTCTTTAAAAAAAAAAGAGATGCAGCATGAATAAGCTTTCATTAAAGGATCCTTGAGAGAATGACAATTTACTATTTGACCTATTCCTTTATGTTTTACTTAATTTTAGCATTTCTTTTTAATTTCCTAAGTCTATTAAGAATCCAAAAGTAGTTTTCTTTAAAAGCAGAGGCCTAAATTTATGTAAGAAATTTTACCTTGTTTCTATGTTTTTCTGCAGCTCAGTGAAAGTGAATGGCATCTCATCTAGGTCAACTGCTGCAATAAAGATACAGATTCCCCACAGTTCTTTTTTCTTTTGAATATAACCTTCCTAGGAACAACAAAAAAAGTTCAAATATTTCATTAACTCATTCACATATTAGATGCTCTATCAAAAGGTATTATATGTGGATTTCTTCTTATTCAGCTAACAAAATAAATGTATTTTAAAATCCTTATAATGGCATATAATGAAAATAGTTCATTTTACTTTAATGAAACATTCAAATTTTAGATTATAAAGCAAAAAACTTATAAGAAAGATCAGAATATGAATTGTTGGTCTCTATGATAGAAACTTCCAATTCATAGCAGCTTCATTCATAATAGCCCCAAACTGGAAACAACCCAAATTTTAAAAAGTAAATAAATAAACAAATTGTAATATATCCATACAATAGTGTTACTGGACAATTGGAGAAGTCTAATAAATTTAACAACACAGATAAGCCTCAGTATTATTATGCTGAGAAAAAGCAAGATACAAAAGGATATATTGTATAATTCCTTTCATATGAAATTCTAGAAAAGGCAAAACTAATCTTTAAGGTCAGAAAGTAGATCAGTGCAGAGGTATGAGGGAATGACTGAAAAAAAGAACAAGATAACTTTCTGTTTGATCAGAAACTTCCATACCTTCATGTGGTGAGTATATGGATAAATATATTTGTCAAAATTTATTGAATGATATTCTTAGAATTGATATATTTTAGTTAAGTGCCATGGTACATGACTGTAATCCCAGCTACTTGGGAGGCTTAGGCAGGAGGATAGTAAGTTCAAGCCCTGCAACTTAGCCAGTCTATCTCAAAATGTTTTTTTTAATTATATTTTTTAAAAAGGGCTCAGGACATAGCTCAGTAGCAGAGCACCCTGGGTTCAATCCCCCATACTAGAAAATAAGAGTTTTTTTAATAATTTATTAAATGGTATAATTTTTTAGTTGTAAATGGACTTTATTTATTTATATGCAATGGTGAGAATCAAACCCAGTGACTTACACATGCTAGGCAAGCATTCTACCACTGAGCCACAACCCCAGCAAGAGGTTTTTTTTTAAAATTATTTTAATGTGTGCAAATTATCTGGATTTTATTTATTCTGGAAATATGTTACAAACTCTTTCTGAAACTGAACACAAAAAGAGCACTGCTTCATTTTTTTGACAACTGTTAAATATCTATTTTAATAAAATAAATGAACATCAATTTATGTGTATGTTTATATTAGTATAGTCAATTTCTCTGGAACTACTAATATGTGAAAAATTGTCTCTATGATAGAAACTCCCCATGTACATGCTTTTTGAATTTTTATGCCTGTTTCTTACCATGTTTTTGGTTTGCTGCTTCTCCCTCAGGTACCATTAGGTGAACTTAACTGCTTTCAATGTGTCTGTTGCAATTCCAGTCTTTTTTCTTTGTCATAATCTTTAGGAAATGAAGTAACTACAGCTGCTAAAATTTAGTATATTGTTAACATTCACTTTTTTCAAAACATCAAATTTTATTAGGACACAGTCCACAAAATCCAATACATAATTTGATATGTAAAATGCCTAAATAACATGTTCTATCAGATTTTTTAGGACTTGAGGAATTTTCCTAAGAGGAATTTGTGATCTTTATTTCAAATATGGTTTATCTTTTAATTTTCTTAAATAACATGTTTCAAAGAGCAGAAGCTTTAATCTTGATTAACCTCATTAATTTTTTTCTTCCATGGATCATGCTTTTTTCAATGTAGTATCTAGGAAATCTTTGTGTAACACAATCTGTTACCTCCTAGATCTAGGGGTCTGATTCATTTTGAGTTAATTTTTAAAAACGGTGCAACACAGGAAATAAACTTTTTACATATAGATATCTGTTCCTGTTTGTTTGTTGCAAAATATCCTTTCTCTGTTGAATTACCTTTTTACCTCTGTAGGAAATCAATTGATTGTACACATGTGGGTCTCTTTCTGGATTCTCCCTTGTGCATGTGTGTTTGTTGTTGCTGTTTAAGGCATTATAGTCATACTTAGTTTTCTGATACATTTTGACAAAGTCATGTATGTATAGAATTTGATTTATTCCATTTCAGTCTCCATTCCCCCTACCTTTCTCTTCCCTTTTTCCCCTACTTTGCAGATCTTCCTTCACTCAAATGATCATCCCTATCTTTATCGTATCTGATCCCACCCTCATTTTCCCCTTATTTTGCTCTAGCTTCCACATTTCTCTCAAACCATTTGACCCTTGGTTTTCTGAGTACGCATTATTTCACTTAGCATGATGTTACCCATTTCCATCCTTTTATGGCAAATGCTGTAACTTAATCTTCTTTATGGCTCAGTAAAACTCCATTGTGTATATACACAAGATTTTTTAAATCCATTCATCTATTGACACATATCTGGGCTAGTTCCATAATTTGGCTATGGTGAATGGTGCTGCTATAAACACTAACGTAGCAGTAACACTATAGTATGCTGATTTTAGTTCTTTTGCATAAATACGAAGAAATGGGATAGCAGGGTCAAATGGTAGTTCCGTTTTTGTTTTCTGAGGAATCACCATATTGCTTTTTAGAGTGGTTATACCAATTTACAGTCCCACAACAGTATAACTTTTGCTCCACATCCTTATCAGCATTCATTATTATTTGTGTTCTTGATAACTGCCATCCTGATTGGAGTGAAATGAAATCTTAGTTTTGATTTGCATTTCCCTAACAGCTAGAGGTGTTGAACATTTTTCATATATATGGAGCCATTTGCATTTCTTCTTTTAAGAAATGGATATTTAGTTCTTTTGCCCATTTACTGATTGGGTTATTTGGAGTTTTTTATGTTAAGCTTTCTGAGTTCTTTATATATTATGTATATTAATCCCAAGAGGGGTAACTGGCAAAGATTTTCTCCCATTCTGTGTCTCCCATTCTCTCTTCATACTCTTAATCATTTCCATTACTGTGCAGAAGCTTTTTAATTTAATGACATTCCACTTATCGATTCTTGGTTTTATTTCTTGAGCTTTAGGGGTCATGTTAAGGAAGTCAGTGCCCACAAAAATATGATGCAGTGTTGACCCTATGTTTTCTTCTAGTAGTTGCACGATTTCTGGTCTAATTCATAAACCTTTGATCTACTTTAATTTGTCTTCTCTGAAAGAAGACTCTTGTTTCATTCTTCTACATACGGCTAACCAGTTTTCCCATTACCAACATATATTCTTGGCATCTTTGTCAAGTATCAGATCACTGTAAGTATGTGGGTTTGTCTCTATTTTACAGTCTATTCTGTTGATTTTCATGTCTATTTTGATGCCATTTACCATGCTGGTTTTGTTACTACAACTCTATAAAAAAAATTGAGAGATCAGGTATTGTGAATGACCCCTGCCTCATTCTTCTTGCTGAGGATTGCTTTAGCTATTGCAAGTCTTTTATTCTTCCAAATGAATTTAAGTACTGGTTTTTCTAGTCCTGTAAAGAATATCATTGGATATTGATGAGAATTGCATTGAATCTGTATATTGCTTTTGATAGTATGGACATTTTAACAATATTAATCCTGTCTATCCAAGAACATGGGAGGTCTTTCCACCTTCTAAGGTCTTCTTCAATTTCTTTCTTCAGTGTCTTATAATTTTCATTGTAGAGATTTTTCACTTCCTTGATTAGATTAATTTCCAGGTTTCTGTTGTTTTTGTTTTTGCATTAGGGGCTATTGTGAAAGGGATGGTTTTCCTGATTTCTTTCTCGGCTGAATAACTATTGGAGTATGGGAAAGCTATCAATTCATGAGTGTGTTCTTGTATCCTGCTATTTTGCTGAATTCACTCATCAGTTCTAGAAGTCTTCTGGTAGAATTTTTTTGAGTCTTATACATATAGGACCATGTCATCAGCAGAAATAGTTCGGTTTCTCCTTTTCCTATTTGTATCCTTTTACCTTCCTTCTCTTGCTGATTGCTCTGGCTAGAGTTTCAAGAACTATATTAAATAAATAGAAGTGGTAAGAGAGAACATCATTGTCTTGTTCCTGAGTTTAGAGAAAATGCTTTTAGTTTTTTTCCATTCAATGATGTTGGCTTTGGGTTTTTCATATATAGCCTTTATAATATTGAAGTAATTTCTTCTATCCCTAGTTTCTCCAGTATTTTTAACATGAATGTGTGCTGTATTTTACCAAAGGCCTTTTCTGCGTCTATTGAGATGATCATATGATGCTTTTCCTTAATTCTATTTATGTGAATTCTATTTACTGATTTGTGTATGTTGACCCAATCTTGCATTCCTGGGATAAAAACCACTCAATCATGGCATATTATCTCCTTGATGTGTTTTTGAATGTGGTGTGATATTTTCTTAAGTTTTTAATTAGCAATAGTTGTACCTCAGAAAAAACCTCACTGGCTATAATGCACAAAGCTGTGATATTTTCTTAAGGATTTTGCATTTATGTTCATTAGGGATATTGGTTTCCAGGTCTTGCTATGTTGCCAAGGCTGGCTTTGAACTCAAAATCCTCCTGTCTCAATCTCCCTACTCACCGGATTTACAAAAGTGTGCCACCTTCTGTACCCTCTTTCTGGATTTTCTGTTCTGTTCCATTGATCTACCCATCTTCCTTTTCACCAGTAACCACCAATGTCTTGATTACTGTAGCTTTGTATTTTTTGTCCATTTTTAATTGAGTTAATTCAAGATTTTTCTATCTGAAAGGCAATCTCAACTTTTATTCTTCTTGTATGAATTCAAAGACTAAAGACTAGAGTTAACACTGGCTCAACATAGACATGCAAGGTCACACACCTAAAAACCAAATTTCCTAACACTCAATTTAACATTATCCCATTTCTTTAAGTATTTTCCTTATTATAATTCTTAACATTTTCATTATTGAAATCTTTAATCTCATCACCTTCACCAAGAGGTCTATGTTCTTAACTTTGGTTTTTATTTCTATTTGATTGAAAAGGTTGAAGAGTCACTACTTAAAGCCTCAAATTATTTTTAATTCTTTTCCACATCAAGTTATTTTTAATTCCATTTACCTTCTAGTTTT